CGTGTCATTCTTAGGCCGCCTTCTGAGGTTTCATACTCTTAGTCGTTGTCCCCCCACCTTACCTACTTTTTTCCCCATTTGAAGAAAGAGTTAGGTCACGCCTACCAGAATCATCTAGTTCGGTACCTGCTACACGTCTGCCTCCAACTGAGACCGCTAGTTTTTCAACTCACCGCATCCACCACTAAGGCTGAGAAAGTGTACAAGGCTATGCTGGACCAACTGGCAGGTGTCACGGGTCCACGTATACGGGAGTTCCTCTGGGTAGGTCTGGCCAACATTGTTTATATGCTACTTCCAACTGCACCTGTTGAATTTTGAGTAATCGCTCTCCTTCATCCCCGTCCTCCTTTTGTCCTTCCAGGCTGCCTTGGACTTCTTAGCCCAGTATCCAGATGACGATCTAGCCTCGGCTGCCTTCCTGCTAGACCGCATGTGCGCGCCCGTGTGCCCCATATCCACTGATCTGCCGCCTTTCCCGGTCAGTCTGTCGGTGTGGGGAAATCAAGAGGACTATCTGTTTGTGCGACGACTACGGGAAGTAGTAAGGTGAGAGATCTTGAAATTTATTTGGCCTGGACGCCTGTTGATGCATGATGGAGGGGAATTTAATTGTTGATAGTGTGTGGCATCCCTGGTCCTCAATTTTTTTTTGTCGCAAGTAAATTAATTATCTGACGTTCACAGGTGCCTAGACCCACAGAAGACGCCACTGCCATCTCGCCAAATCCAGCCTAACCGTCGCTTCATCCTTGCTGGTCCCCCCGTCCATCCTGATCTTATTTAAAAGTCCCACAACGGGACTGCATTCTGTCTGCCGCCGAAGCGTCAGTCAAGTGTTCAAATCCTTGGGTGAATCTCAGAATCGCATTTCCACAGAACCAATTTAAACCTCTATGCACTGCACGTGCGAACAGAGCATGCATACCTCTAGGTCGGCCACATCGGTACTCCCTACTGCAACCCTCAGGCTATTTAACTAAATAAACCAAGCGGGTTGGCCTTTTAGTAATATATTGCCTTTTACCAACCTAAATTTACTTTTTTTCCTGTCCTGTCTCCGCTCTCCATCAGCTCCGATACCCGTGG